TACTGCTATAAGAATGTTTTTATTTTCTTTTAAAGTTTCCAGCATAGCAGGAATTGTAAAAAAAGTACCTATTTTCAGCTTCCACATCATATTTCTTAGGTCGTGAAATTTTCTTTGGCTTTTTGTGATAATTTACTTCGCGAATGAAGTCATAAATAAGTCTTATTATGCAGGGAAAAATTCCGAAAAACGTAAACTTTCACGAGCTCCATTTCCAGATGAAAAGTTAGACAATAAATTTCAGTCGTTAAATAAAAATGTTATATTCCACTATACTTTCCATTTCATGGATAATTTGAATGCAATTTTAGGGCGAGTTCCTCGGTTTCGCACATCGACTTTATTTATGACTTCACCCCGTACAACATTAGGGAGGCATTTTCTCGGGCGCGGCCGGGAAAAGCGGAATTTTTATTGTAATAAGCGAGAACCTTTTAAAATGCTGACTGCAGAGAGCCACGTGTTACCAAATGGAAATGGGATATATATGGAAAAGATACTTCGCCACAGGGACCGGCTATATTTGTAAATGGAATTTATTCTTATGTCAACTGCGGTTTGCCCGGCTTTATGTTACTTTTTATTTTTGCCTCGTTGAATATGCAGGATTACGTTCCGGTAAATTCGGCAACGAATTACAATTTCCATATTTTATGGATTTATTCCCCGCATCCTAACGATTTTTCTCGTTAGATACAAATCTATTTAAAAAAAAACTATACTTACTTATCAATAAAATAGATGCAATCAATTTCAATCTATCATCGATCACTTGCGTGCTTTGATAACCAACTGATAGGAAATGGACCGTTCAAGCGTTTTATGTATACACATAGGAACCGAAACAAAATCAGGTGCCGCAAACAATAAAACTATACCGTTATTGTTTGTTAATAGCCGGCTAATTACGAAAAATCATTGAGCTTGTCTCGATCATTGAGTTGTGAAGAGGATTCGCACACACCGAAGGTTCCAAACAATGATCGCGTGTAATTGCAAGGGCCATTGTGTATTCATCTGATTAATGCGACCTACCTCAATCGGTTGTCAGTTGTATCCGTTGCGAAAACAGCAATTTCCTTTTCATCCGTCGCACATCGGCCGATAGCGAAACGAAATAACTAGTCTCAGTTCTTTCAACGGACATGCGAGATTTTTTCTTTTCGAACCTACCTATTTCGTTTACTTCAACCTGCTGGTTTAACTCAAAATACAAATACTTGAGCTACACACATTATACTATTACTTTAATTATTACCTAAACGGATATTCTTCGTATAGAAGTATTAGGTTTTTTTTTGCAATAGGGCGATTGAAGTGAATTTTCTACCCCAGTTAACGTTACGTCCGAGTAGGGGCGAGAGCGAGGGTGTTGCACTGATTTATTGTAACAGCCATCCCGCCTCGCTTAAATTGAGATTTGAATTACCGAGCAGCCAATATCGGGGCTACGGAGCGTCAAAAAGCATAAAATTGAATCGGACTAGTGACTTTTTGATTGCGTTAGCGGATCGCGTGCGTACAGAGCTTATTCTTTGCGCAGATTTATCGTTAACGTGCGAAGAATTTTATACTAGAAGGTCTCTATACGATAAAACTTGTCTTGTGCATCAACAAATTACACAATTCTATTAAATTTTTTAATGATTTTGCTGGCTTTTTCGATTTTTTTCTATGTTGTAGGAATTTTGAAAATTAGCACTCACTTAATTTGTAGCCAACAAAAAGTTCTAGTAATTCATTTTAACGACTCGTTACTTTTTTCATTTCTTAAACTGTCATAAAGTTGTTGACGGTGGCTTCCAATTAATGGTCACTCCAATGAACTCATATTTCAGCGTGAAAAACCGGTGGGAAAGTAAATTAACTTCGCGACGATGAAAGGTTTAGTTAAAAGCGTAATTTTAGATATTTAAATTTCGCAAATAACTTTTGGAAGTATTTCGCGTTTTTATCGTGCGAATTCTCTTTTATTATTAACTTTTAAGTGAATAACAAAAGTAACAAAAGCCTGACTGGACTGTTCACAGTTTTTGTCGTTCGCATTTAACAAATGTAACAGTGCATACAAAATTGGTTCCAGCAATTTCCATGGCTTGTCACCTAAAATTTATTGCAGCTTCTAACGAAAGACTTGTATTTATTCCATTTTTGACAACCATGGGACAGCAAGGGCGTAACTGGGACGAGGGTACAGGAAGAATGAATTTTATCGTGAAAACCATTCACCTAATTGTATTTCATTTTTTGTAATTTTTTTATACCTAACCAGCAAATTACACCAATTTTTATAATTTTACACATTTTTACATCTATTTGAAATAATAGAACGCCTCTCCCATAAAGTAAATTATACACACCTATATAATTTGCTTGCCTAATTAAAATAACCAAGGCTAATTTTTGATAGGCAACATTTTAATTGGATACTTACAAGTATTCCCACAAAAACTAAATTTAATTGTATAGGTTCCATTTTAACTTCCATTCTGCGTAAAAATTTTTATATATTCTTGAAAAATAATTGTGCCATGGTCATGAATGCGTTTCGAATTTCTTCTGCTCGGGCACCGAGGTAATTTCCGAAAAGTCACTGAAGGACTGTGGCATTGAAAAGGGGTGTAAATATTTGCCCTTTTGGAGGCTTAGCGTTGTAAATCGCAAAGGAATTGTGAAGATAACAATGGACCTTAGGATGTGGTTTCGCCTATTCACTTTTATAACCGTCGTAAATCTTGTGGTTCCGAGTATGAAAACACACAGATATGACACCGTGCCCTCCTTTGTGATTTTTTATAAGACGTTGAAATTGCCTTTCGATGATTTCCGAGGTGATTTATTGCCCTGAAAGGAATGTTTTAAATTCAGGTCGGATATAAATTAATCATAAATACTGTTATTGATGCATGCTTCCATATAAAAGTCAACGCAGTAAGAATTAAAGATGAATTATATGGAATAATAGATAGCGATATTCATTTTATAACTGTCTTTTATTAGAATTATTTCTTTATACTATCTAATAACACATTTTAGATTTTTATTTCATCATAATTCTGAAATATATATCTATTTAGGCTATAATTAACTTTTTATAATTAAAATAAAAGAGCCATATTAGGTATTAAAAATAATTACGTACATAAAATATCATCATAAGAATTGTTGATTTTTTGCGATTGGTTACTTAACTATTATTTAATTATTATTTATTCACAGGATGTAGTTTCCAGTTTACGACCAATATAATAATGATTACAGAACTGTGAAATACATGCCTACTTTATACTGGCAAATATATTAACAATAGGTATATTTTGAAAACTTACTTTGTGATATCCTTAGAAAATCTCATGTATTCTATAAATAAAACCAATCCTTATAACTATAACGAAATTATCCTTGTAAAAATATTTTTTTCTGGGAAAAAAATCAAAGTTAATTATCGTTGAGCTCGTCCGAGAGGCTGATTAAATTTTACCGTAAAAAATTGTTGTAGTCAAAAACAGAAGAAGATTTTAATGGAAATTTAAAAAAATACCCATAACAAACATTAATGATCCGACCCTAATGTAAAGGTAACACTATACCTGAATCACTAATGATTTACAGAGAATTGACGATGTGTTGGGAGTGAAATCACTTTATTAATGGCCAAATGTTGTTTTTAAATTTGAAATAACTTTATTCCTTTTATTTCATATAATACCTTCAGTGCCATTTTTTTCATTTTGTATTTAAAATTTTCCTGAACCCTTTTCGCATCTTTAAGCATTCATTAACTTTTGGTGTGGTCAATTTGTTTGGCTATAATTTACGAACAACTCGATTTATAGGATAATATTTTAATACAGATGAATCCAATGCTAATTTAATGGTTGAGTAACCACCTTACAGCATATCACAAAAATTTATGGCAACATTCTCGAGGGAGATGATTTTAAAGTCTTCCTTCTTCGACAACGAAATTTGCAAATGTAATTACCTGTATAAAGGAGAGAACTTGTGCAGTAAATTTTTAGCATACCTGCATCTTCGAAGGCAATTACATAGGTCTAGAAATTGGAATTGGAATAAAACCAAAGCATTAAATATTCAAATTTATTTTTTGATAATCTACAGTCCATTAATATATGTACACAACAATTAATTTTCAACATAAATAAGACGAGAATAAAAATCTAGTAATCAATAATCGACAAGGATTACATCAGAGTAAAATTAATTTCATTTACAACCTACTATCGAACGACCAGCAGAACAAACGTAGTATTTGAACAGGACAAAGTGTATTTAAAAACTTATCACAAAACAGAAATAAGTATTGCAATTTATCTAAAAATTGAGGACCACACTAAAAAAGGAAGTTGTAAAATTAGAATCTCTACAAAACATTTTTAGTATAGGTATTAGGTCCAATTAAACTATGAAATTGGCTTTGCTACATAAATAATTTATTTTACAATAACATTTGCTGAAGTACATAAGTACAGAGTATTCTCACTTAAACCCAAATGATTCTCAAACTCTACAAAAGTGTACAAAAAAATATGAATCTATAATACATTATAAGTGTAATAGGCTTAAAGGCTAAATGCTATTCAAGACCTCTATATACAAACTTCAAATACCAGTCGTTACTCCTGGGAAAGGAACATTGTACATTCTCTACGAGCAGAGAATTTAATTATAAAACACCGACAATATATTATTTACATTAATACTGTTCATGTATAAAATATACTTAGACATGCACACGATTTCGAAATATCACTACAAGAACTCCTCCCAATAAATTAATTTAATACAAGTACAGGTAGGTAGTATTTACAGACACAATTTTTACAAATTATATTTAACGTCTCACGTGACTCTTTGGTTGCTATTTTCAACAGTAAAGTGTAGGTATAATCGCGGTTGAAATTTCAGACGAATTTTACTGCTATATAAGCGCCTACCAAAATTCGAACCGCAAACACTAAATTACAAGTCGAAATATTTACCTGAAACAATCTACACAGCCTAACATCAATTACTAGACCGGGACGACGGGCTCAGCGACGGGCCGAGCGGCCTGGAAATCGACGCGTACGGGCTAAACCTGTGGTGCATGGCCGAAGGAAACACGGCCTTGGGCAGCCGCAGCTCGCTGGAGGCGCTCACCGACGTGGGCGAAGGGGAACCCGACGAGCTCGGCGTGGAGGCGGGCGGAGGCGTGATCTGCGGCCGGTGCGACCCGGGCGGCCCCAGCAACCCGGGCGGCAGCCCGCCGTGCATGGGGCTCTGCCAGGAGGCGCCGCCGCCGCCTTGGTTCCACAGATGGCTCGGCAGGCCGAGCGGCACGGATTGCCTTTGGCCGAGGAACACTTGCTGGTTGGAGCTGTTGAGGAGGAACGCGTGCAACTCGCTGGGGTTGTAGGCGCCGCCCGCCCGGCCCCACATCTGCAGCTGGGCCCTCGCCTTCTCCACCATCGCCGCCGAGAAGAACGACGAGGCGTTGTTGTTCTCCGAGTCGAGGGAGTCGCCCGAGTAGAGGCGCAACGACGAGCGCAGGAAGTGCTGGTCCATGAAGAGGCTGTCCATGGGTTCTCTGGAAACGAAGAATTATGTGTAGAATGCGATTTATAGAGTCAAGGTTTTCGGAATTGACTCATTTTACTACTACTAATGTTCAAAAATTTGGTGGATGCATTGTTTCTTCTACCATTTTATAGAATTTATAAGACTATAAGACATATTCTACCACGTACCATTTGGTTGAAATATGCCAAGTATCCTTGATACCTTTCCCAAAAACCGAGGGGATATACATTATAAGTATAGGTAAACCTAATTCCGTTTGAAATTGGTTCGATTAATGACCCGTGGCAATTAATTCACTCATTCGAAAAGAACTGCAAAAAATTATACCAAAAAACAGTTGGTAAAGGTAGATGGGTGCCCCAAAAAACGGGTAAATAAAAAACACCATTTCCTTAATGACAGTTTACACCTAATTCCCTTCGCGCCGCGGCGGCATGAAATAATTACAAGGTATTAGACAAACACAAATTTCGTCCTACCCAACAACACGTCCTCGCTCGCATGATCAATAGCTCGAAGCGCGGTATTCCGATCCTCAAAAGACCCCTCATCTACCGAATCGTCCTATTACGAAGAATCGAATCCGAGGTATACAATGTTAGAGATGGGCTCGTTATTTTTACGGGTTTTCAACAACGACCGAGCGGATTCCGGAGCTGTAAAATTCCAGCGCAACTTCACATCATAAAACCAACGATATGAAACTAAAGGAAACGTTTCGAGACCTGTTATGGAAGAAAATAGCAAAGTTTGCAAAATATCTAACATAAACATCTACAAATTTTATAACAAGTTTGCTGTCAGGATCAATTTTATAGAATAGTTGCAACATTTTTTCAAAGTAACTGTTGTGAGCTCAAAATATTAGATTTTAGTCCTTATTGTTGTGGTGTAAGTGAGGTCTTTTCGAGGTGGGTCTTTGGCGCATTCCACCTCTATTCGAGGAATCTAAGAATATAGAAAACGATCGGGCGTTGCGGCATCGGCATCACACCGAAAACAATCAATAATATTGAGATGGGACGAAAGTTGCGCGCCGAGGTGATAATGAGAGGGAGACGCCCCGCCTCCCGATTACGAATTCAGTGGCGTCTTCTGCTCCGGCTCTATCTCCGCAACGCATCAACTAAATTGGGCGAATTTTAGATAATCTCCGCCGCACGTCAGAGCTAATAAATGGTTTTAATAATTTCCTTCATATTTTTTTTTACTTGTCTCTCGACAACCCCCGAGTAAATTGGATTTTTTTTATTTCAGAGGATGTAATTTGAGGTTGTATTTTGTTTTTGTTGGGGTATAAAAAGTGTTGTTGATTACGCTTGTTGCTTTCGTAATATCGGATTTCGGAGAGAGGAAAAGGGTTTAATTAAACTGATGTTGTAATTAATGATGGCTAATTTGATAAGATATTAAAAATTTGGTTGTATTTGGATGCAAATAAAATAAATTTGAATACGCAGCTGACCTCCTGGTAGACCGACCGCTTCAACAGCATCCACGGCCGATCCTAATTAGTAAGTCGAAAGGAGAAAATAAGTGGGAAAACACGACAACCTACCTGAGGTGTGAGAAAATGCCCGGCCGTCATTATATCATCAAAATACTCCGCGAAGACAACGATTGTCTCAAATTATAGGGCGGCGTTCGGACGCACACCTTCCAGCGTTACTGCGGAACGTTAAAACACGGTAAATTAAATTCTATCACAACAGTAATGACGCCCAGTGTAGAGGTGCAGAGCCAACAGTTACGGTTAATTTCAGATTAAAAAAAAATAATTAGAAATAACATTTTTTCATAATAATTTGACCAACAAACAACAAAGAAATCGTATCAAAATTTCTCTACTTTTTGAAAGAGAATGGGGTACTTTCGGAACGGAATCGTTTCCATCTCTAGGCGAGAGATCTCTGTAACACGTCGTGCCTCTAGCGGAGCCTCTATATTATTATTACTTATCACTTTCGCTGCTCGTGTGCGTGCCTCTAAATCAATGGAAGCCTTTTATTAAGTTCCGACCGTTAAATCATGAATATCAAAACGATATTGCCCACCTATAGTCTCCGATATCTAATTGCTCTATCTTTACCGGAACATACCACGCAGCAATTCTTCGCCGAGTATACTAAAAAGTTCTAATATATCTGCATGGAATTGCGAACAGAAAAAGCTATCCTAATAAGCATGAAGATAATTGGCGTAAATTATTACAGGTAGTTTGGACAGTCGAAGGAAATGGGTAGATTCCGTAAGATTTTTATTTATCATTTTATAGACAATATAGTTGTAATTCTTCCTTATATTGCCACCGCACACAATAAACAATAACCGGAACACCGATGATTTTCGCAGTTTTTATAGTCACCTACAAAAACCTAATGGCTCCGGAGATATAAGAAAAGTAATAAGTTGAATTTATGACGAATTTAACGGCAGGACGTGAGGTTATTTCGCTACATTACATATCCGTATAAAATTACAATGCTGCAATTAGGTTATTAGGATGATGGACAATTTAAAAAAATAATTATTCGTCTCTATAAAACTATGTTTAAATTGAATAGGATGTGATGCAAAAATCCTTTCCATTAAAATTCAGTTTATTAATATCTCTAACCGAATTTCGCATAAATCACTCAAGAAAAGCCGCCGCTTTCCATGAGCTCGGGAAACACCATAAATCCCTACCTGTCAAAGTCGGTGAGTCGTGAAGAATCCCTGAAACCCTTGGCGAATGGGTTGGAATCGATTTTCAATTTGGTGATGAGCTGGTTTTGATAGGCCGTTACCGCCGTGAAAACGGACTCGGGAAATATGAACGTCCTATACTGCTCCGACTCCAGATCGCTGATGGGGCCCGAATGCTCGCGCCATTTAACCAAGTGAATCCTCGGCTGATACCTGTGCATCGAATTCAACACGATCTGAAACAATTATAAACATTTTAAATACAACAAAAAAATAACTGCGGAAAGAGATGTTATATTTTTCGAACGATTGTTCGAGCGCCGTTTCCGAACGCGATATAGGAAATGCTCGGAATACCTAGAGAAGTTATTTTTATTTCAGGCGATTCCGCGGACGACGAAACGACAAACGGCGCCGCCGGCGAAGAACGCGCCTGCGTCCGCGGCGCCCAAACCGGCCGAGTTCGGCGTCTAGCGGAGCCGAGTTGCTAAGCAACACGTTATACCTAACTCTTGCTGCTATAATGATTGGTGGCACAGAGGCAATGGCTGCCGCGCCGTCTACAACGTTCTACGCACCCCATAAACAGACTATTCGCCCGGAAAGGAAAGGTGAAAGAGGAACGCACTAAGTAACTCATTCGTAAATCGGCCGCGGATGTAATACGGTTGGGCGAGGAAACGTGATGACGTGCCGCGTTTGCGAGATAAGGGAATATAATATCGGCGTAGGAGTATGTATAGTTATATATTATATACAGAAGATACTGATATGTTGTTTCTCTTATATCTCATTAATTCAAATTGATTATGTACCAATAAATAGGACGGAATTTAGGAAGTAAAAGAGAGAAATACCTAAGGTATATTAGAACGTATTTTGTTTAAAATAATCAGTTTGCAATCTTCACTCTAATGGCCAATGCATTTTTCATTCCAAATGAATAATGTATTGAAGGCATAATTACTTGATAGTAACTACTCGTATAAAGGTAAATACTTAAAGCGAAATATTATTTACCGCAAGTGACATGTTAAATTAGAATAACTATTTTTACTCCAGTAATTTTCCCATTTATCAATCCGGTCTATCGTCAAGTAAATTGAACGATGTGCTAATTGGATGCGTGTCGAGTTATCGTAAAAATAGAAAATCTACCTACAAATAATCGAACTTTCGCGAAATGAGGTTTCTCTGTTCATGTGCGTTAGAAATTTGATTGTAGATGTACTAATAACCTAAACAATAATAAAAAAGGCACAGACGTAATATTCTAATTGTCAGAAGAAAAATAATTAAAAATTATTCTATGTGTATAGTGAGACAATTTTCATTCAACAAAATCTGAAGAATTTTGTACGTTGACAATGTGAACAAAATGTTGAGTTGGAACTTGTGTTTTTGTGTGAGGTTCGCATGTATATTCATGAGAGACGCTTACAAAATAGATACGCAAAGGCGATTATGCAAATTAAAATGTACTTGCAACTTGTAATTGCAAATTGGTGCATTTTGCTGAAGATAGTTAGGTCATTGCCTACTATAAACACACACCGATACTTTTATAATATATCATGAATTTGTTGACATTTTGATTTTATTTAAATTTTCAGTAATGTAAAATAGAATCACAATTCACTTTATTCTCCATCAAATGCATGTACCGAGTGTATAACTGTGTGTAGTGAATTTATAAATTATTTTGATACTATACTGCTGTTTTATAATGAACCATCATTATAAACGTAACAATAGAAAAGCTAGGTAATATTTCTAAATTATTAATTAGCAAATTGGCGACTAGCTGGTGCATTACCAATATGGCGTTTCGCATGCATGTTATATACGCATCGACAACTGCTATCTCCATTACTAACATTGAAACTTATAATTTCAGTCCCTACAAGATTATTTTTCTAATACACCGTAATTTAATATAATTCGAGTTGTGTTTTCAAACATCAATAGTATCTCTGCATTGTTCAAATCCATAAACCTATATATGCAACAAATATTATCGATGCGACGAAAATAACAGATAATTTATAAATCCGGTCGACAATTTTAAGGAACATTCAGTTATTATTTATTTACTTTTTTTGTTGTCCGGTAGAAAAGCACGGTCTGTTAGTTATAAAATGACTTGCGTCAGGTGTGCAACCAGGGACGTACAAATTGTAGGTATACCTAAATTAATCCCATCACTATCAAATTTAATTCTTGTTAAAATTTTTGAAACTATACTTAAATATACACAGATAAATAATGATTATAATAATTGTTTTAATTTATGAAGTAAAATATGCTTCAAGGTGAAATCAATTCCAAATTCAAAAAAAGTGTTCCATACACACAAAATCCTTGTTATTAAAATGTTTATTATAAATGTACGAAAGTGAATAGAATATTAAAGGTAAATAATTCGAGATTAAAAAATCCTACTGCACTGTTCTTGGGTAATATTGACCATCTTCTGCCTACTTACCCGTGGATTATACCATTCATAAACGCTAAGAACAGGTGACCGTTTAGTCATAAATATCGCAGTTCGTACGAGTCCCGGACACATAACGATAAAAATAACAATTCTGGACAATAAAATTGGTTTTCGTCATCAGTCGGAAAACCTATTAAGACCGACGCTAAAAAAGAACAAACAAAAAAGCCAAAAGCAATCACTAAAAGTGTTGCAGCTGTATTAATGATCCGATGTTTTATTAGTTAAGATGTGGCCTTTTGTACTCCAAGAAAGTTAATTGAGTTGTAGACTTCGTCGAATGAGAAACTATAACGTATACGATGGAAATTCAATTTATAATGCTCTTAATTCATTTCTAATAATACCCAGTCATTTAATTTACTTTATCAAAACTAATCAATTATCAATATCTCTTTTATTAATTATCTATAGGTTACCACTAAATAATATCCCGCTATAGTGTTTGTTCTGTTACTTTTGTGACAGTATTCGTTATAAGTATGTCAAAATTTAAGTAAAATTTCTAAAAATATCATGAGCTTATTAGATAATTATTATTTACCATTTCAAACGAAGGAGTATATTTCGAAAGTGTGCTGCGACATCATCGAGGATATTTTGAGGACCACGTACGACGAGGAAAATCCGATAACTACAGCATTGGAAAAGTGTACGCGCGGAACTCAAACAGATACTTTTTATCATTTGAAAAGGGAAGAGGATCATCCCAAGATCGATTCTCCCACAGTCGGTATTTGGAGGAGATGGTGGAGATTAGTACAGTGAGAGTGTCCGTTGAGAAATGTGTTGAGCCGCTTCAAGAACCAACTCTCTTTGGTCAGTTGATCTACAATTAACTATTCAGTAAACACATCATTTTTATTTTCATACAGAATTTTTAGAGATAGAAGAAGAATACGAAATTACAGAGACAATCCAAGAAGGAGACGAAGAAGAAACTGAGGTTGAAATCATACTCGATCACATCGAGTTAATAATATCGGAATACATTAACGACAAAGGCTTATTAGAAATGAATCGAAACATATTTAGTTTAACTAATAGAGGAATAGAGGATCCACAAGAACAAGATAACCTCATTCCGGATACAGCAGATTTGCCGGAGTATTATAGAACGGCCGCCAGTATTCTATCGCAAGGTGACAACAGAGAGATGGAAAATTTCTTGATGAATGTAAATCGAAATGTCGTTGTTAATGTGAATATGTCGTTTTATTTTAAAATCATGATTTTACTGTTAACTGTAAACACAACGCTGCTGTTCAAATGGATCATTTGGGATCAAATCTCGCAATTTTTTTGTTAAGACTGTTGTATTCGTTACTTGTGTAGGTAAATAATAATACACGTTTAAAAATTGGAATAAACAATAAAATTAAAAGTTTAGAATTTTTGGTAAATGATAATCACCCCGTAAATAAAAAATTGGGCTTGTCCAGTTGTCAGATTAAAATTTATTCGATTAAACGGACTAACAACACTTGGACATTTTATCAGTATCATGTCCACAGAGAAACATAAGTCAGAATTATACATGGGTGCATTTTCTGTATTTCATTATAGTACAAGGTGTTCTTTTGTAAAACTAATAAAACGTTGTCAGCCGTACGTTTTTGATGAATGAATTAAGCCTCCGTTGGTAGCGAGCCGATAATTTCCATAATTGCCGGTTTAAATCAAATTGTGAAAGTTTATTTTGTTCCGGAACGCAAATTAGGGAAGTAAATGCGATAATTGGCCGTTGCTCGATATAAATTTTTCCATTTCGAAACCCATGTAACTTTTTTCTTCAATTAGTAAACTTGTCAATTAATTGATAATTAATAGAAAAATTTTACTAAGTAAATGACTACCTATACCTATTCGTGACAAGTTAATTACTACGTTATTAGTAGCATTAGTGTTTAAAATCTTAAACTAGAAGAATATTTTTATTTATAGAAAATTTGAAAATCTCATATGAAAATTCTTCTTGACGTGCGTCGCGTTTTTCCAACAAATCTCGATAGGTTTTCATTTGGATTAAACTCCATTAGAAATGCCCGAGCACGAAAATAATTTTCCTACCGCGAAAAATCGCGTTCCGTAATTTCATGTTTTCACGTCAGCTACTTAAGTTACTCGTGATTGATCGGCATCATATTTCTTTGAAGTTGGGCAAGCTTTAATGGATTACCTGGCTCCTGATAGCCATCAGAAAAAAATATTTTTTTCTTACTTTGCCAGTCACAGCGTCGGACATTACCTTCATTAATTTGGGGTACCGCTTATAGGTATTTTGGTGCAAGTGAAATATTGTTAAATTTCTTGGAATATGCAACACAATGAAGTAGCTTCCCATCATGAATAAAGATTGCAAAACAAGAAAAACACGAACTTAAAAACAACTTCTGCGCCAGTGGCTACTTTAGTGTTATAAAATACCTTTGCACCATAGAAGTCAAGTTTTTTATACGTTGAGAATAAATTATGATAATTTCACGTCGACTTCGGGTTTATCCAGTTCTTAATTTATTTATTTAATTTAATCATTGACAGTCTGTTTTCGGTCGTAAAATTTGTTCGTAAATTAATTAACAATAATATAAAAATTAATGGCGTGCTTTTGAAAATTCATGCACTTGGCAAATTAAATTAATGTATTCGATTAATAAGGAAACGTTTGCTTGAGTTAAAGAAATTTATTGGCGATTAATTGAGAACCTTTAGCCTCCTTAGACGCGGATTTTATTGATTCTTAATAAAAAAAACTCGTATAAATCTTATACCTTATTTTGTTGCTGATTAGAAATTGCACGCATATCGAGAGTTGTCAATTAAATAGAATAATTGTAAATAATTTATGTACTTGTTTTAATTAAGAACGAAAACATAACGAGAAAACATTCGAGTCATTATAATACATATTTCGTGCGTGTTTGAAAGGTCAAGTTATGAATGGGAGACCCCCCTGACGCCAGGCCTGCACACAAACGCTCGTATTTCAATCTCCACGAAATGGATTTTAAACGAGATGCCTTGTTAGTCTCTAGGTGAGAAATTTGTTGTCCTTTGGACTCCCTGTCGGGCGACACCGCTCCGGGTCGTATGATAAAGAAGGCACTATATCGGAGATTTCCAGCGTATCGTGAGCAGGTGATCGGTCGTGAAAACGGTCTTTGTAAATAAGCGACCCGGACGCGCAGTGTGAGGCTGATATAACCGCGACACTCGGGATATCTCCTCTTTTCAGTTTCATATACATTGTCACATAATCATAACTCCCGATTTTAATATGCGTGACGTTCCTTCGGGCCTGCATGATTAATAACGAAATCGGACGTGTTTCTGCTTTTCTTCTTAATCTACGTATGGGGTCCTGCTGGAATCCAAATGATGCTGTCATCCCTTGTAACAATGGCTACAATAACTCGCAGAGATATTATCAATTGTGGGCTCTATTCGTGTATTATAAGCTGATGACTCGCTGGTTTTTATTTACCGATGATACGAACTATTTCATATCGCGTTAAAATGTCGATAACGACAATGAGGATTCCTACCTGTCCGTTTTTGTCCATTTCGTTATTGGTGAGCTTGACTTTTTCGAACGACACGACCTGCTTCCTGAGCTGCTCGCCGGAATACGGCGAATCCGGATGCGCGTACAGCCTGTTGGGCGCGGGTGGATCCGCTTTTCCGGCGACCAACCACGAGGACCGGTGGTACGCGTACCGGTACCGTTTGTTATCGACGGGCACCACGTCCAGTAGCACGGCGTACCTCTGGTCCGAGCGGATGCCCGTGAAGGAGACTCGCAGCGTGGGGAACATTCTCCTGCAATAACAAAACCACTCGTTAACTATCGACTCTACTCTACTCTTGTCCTACGGTTAGATGCGGTATATTTAGAAGTACAAAAAAAATCATGGAGTTAATTTTAAATTCACTCGACTATTTAATACTTAATGGTTCCCGGTACAACTTTCAAGTGCCAATAAGCCATTAGCGCAACATTAAAAAACCCGAAACACGTCAGAGGCACTTTAAATTATCACTGCAAAAAGGCGACAAGCCGGCTATATACCAGCAGTTCTTTTGTTTGTCTTGCATTAGCATATCCGAGCCATTTCTCATTAAGATATTAATAATAATGAGTGTTTAAACGAATTTTAGTTAACGGAGTTGTATGTTAGAATTCTTAATTAGGTCGAGACCGGAAGCAGAGGTAAATAGCCAAGGCAACGTCGTGGAACCGAAATTGGTGATTAGCAATCTGTACTCGGAGTTGTTAAGTCATTTTCACGAATATCTGCATAATCATCGTTGAGTTATGCATTTTTACCACCTAATTAACGAAGAAATTCACTTCGATCGCTAAGAGGAAAAAACCGAGTCATTTTGAGTGGTTGTTTTTCGGATAGGTCGATTTTTCTTTTGGAAAAAAAATTAATTTCCTGTTACATTTCGCTCGGCAACACGCGTTTTTTTATTTAATTTAATTTTGTTCTTCTCTAAGCAGTTCCGGTTTTTTTTAAACGTTTTAGTTAAATAAAGTGAAAATAGCACCACTCATCGCCACGCCACCATAATCATGTTAGTGGCATATATACGGTATATTTATATTTAATTGCGTAATTGTTGTAAAAAAAATCCTAAAGCCGCGGACTTGTTCTTTTCAAATTAAAACGATAATAAATGTAAAGAGACTTGCGTATGTAATTTCCGCTTAAGTCTAATAATGTTTAATAGCCAGTATTACGAACTTACGGCGAACACCGAACGTTCCTGAGTAGGTATACCTACTAATGTGTATTTCGAAAATACGTAGTGTTAAAATGCCTAAATTACCTTAATTTAAACCCGACAGCCTGTAATTTCGGTTTCCTTGGCCGCTTTGATCCCACGTCGTCAAAACATGTTTATGAAACATCGCGTGAGTCAAGGTGTAAAAATTATACTTTTCTTTGATTTTTTTAATAGGCAAAGACTTTTCCTTTGCGGTTTAACAGGTACCTAAGATTTTAAGTTGGGTATAACTACTAGCCTATCCCACTCAAATACACTATAGATTACATTCTATTAGGCACAAAAGGTTTCTATAATGCATCTCTATATTTCCTCAGAGGGTGTAAGATACCACAAAATACTAAAATTATAGAGTCGAATGAAGAAAAACTTTAAAGAATTTAGATTGCCCTCTTCATTTATAACTTCCCTATAAGTACATCCTAAATGACTAATAATAGAATCGAGTCGTCATTACTGATGTTAAAGACAGTAAAAAGTATTATTTCCATTTGAAAGCAATGAAACCGACATTGGTTAATTATGTTTAAGAGTAAATTGATTTATTGTAGGTAAGTAGTAAAATTAATTGACGGTTTTATGATATCAACCAGTAATAATCGCGACAATAACTGAGCAGTGAGTGACACATGAAATGAATAACGAAAACGGCCTTTTGAAATATTTGAAATATTTTTCAACAATTAAAGGTCAAGTCGCTTTGATGGCTAACGTAGTAATTTACATGATAATAAAACAAACTGATAATGGATATAGGTATTATTATATTGAAAAATTATTTCCATAAAAATTCCTATTGTGTACTAAAAATTTACCAAAACCTTCAAGAGATATTTTCATAATATTGGAATTTCATAAGATATATTGTTTATTTTATTTTAGATTTTTGTTACTTTCAATATGCTACCTACTTATTTTCTCTATAAATTGTACTTCAAAGAACATAATATAGCTATATTTGCTTTGTGTGTGCATATAGATTCATAAAAATTGCTCTGTATATTTGAAAATTAAACATCTGATATATTTGATTGTATTTTGTTAATTCAGTAAGGTATACATTTACATGCAATTTAACGACAACAAACATAAGAACATAATAAGTGCATTAGTTTTTTTTTCAAATTGAATCGGTAATGCAAAACTATTATTTCCTCCTTTTTTCTAAAGAAATCAACCCGACCTGTTTAAATATTAATATTCGCATGATATCCATCCGTTTGTTTGGAAAACTTATTGTTGTTTAATTACACCTTTTTTGTTTAATTTTTATTACATGCATAGGTATCCATTTATGCAAATGATACGTTAGGTTATTGTATTTTTTTTATTTTCCTATAAATTACCGCATTCAATTATTTTACGAACATTAAATGTAATAATGGGCATTAAAAATTTGTTTTGTCATCGCAAAAAATGGGAATTTCTCGCCATCGCTAAATACTTGGATACCGATATTAAATTAAAGATTCACTGGATTCATCATAAAGAAAATGATAATAAAAAATCCTGCTTAATTTAGTAAATGCTGCATTATCTATCAATAAATTAGTTATTTAGAATGTTTGACTTTAAAAAAGAATAAAAATGACCTTTTCGTATTTCTATAGGCTACAAATGACATTTTAAATAATTGATATATCATTATAGGTGATGGTAAATTATTACATGGTCTATTATAGGAGGTATTTCGATTAAGATTCTTACATAATTTTTTCATCGGCTTCGTTTTCGCAACGGGGCCGATTTGCCGGTTAATTAGAAGGGTTCAAATCGCAACTAATTTACCGATTGTTATGAAATTATCTGGAGCTTCAATCTGCTAAACGTCCGAGAGGCAGAGCAAAGTGTGTGTGAAATGATTGAATGTAATAGCAGAAGGCCGAGGGGGACGTCGGCGTTCTCCTGATTAATGACTCTGGTGGCAACTTAACAATATCCCGAGGACTCTCTAGGCCAACTATTAATTAAACAACTCGATTCAGCCCATAAAAATAATTAAATGACTCTTAATCATCGCGATCGCTTTTTTGCCGAGCTTTAACTTCAATGATCGCCGGCTTTTCGCGAGTTTCTTTTGCCCGCGTCGAACGCGCGATCAATCACCGGCGATTTTATCGGTTATTAACGTCTATTTCATGCATATATTTATTTCTGGCTTAACGATCTAATTCGAACGTTGTACCGGAGGAATACCGAGCTAATCAAATTAATGTACTTAATTTCACTCGTGTTCGATTTTTATGTTAACAATTAGTTTGTAAATTGCCGCGTTAATGAATTATTTTCGTGAATGTCGCTCGTTTGTATATACCTATAACGTTCTTTTATTATTATAGTTATCGATTTGATTTAATTATTATTAAATAAGTATATATTCTTCATATCTAAATTAATTAAAACTTTAAGAAGAACTAGTTTTAGTAATATTAAGAATATAAAGAATTTAGCTTGAAACAAATTTAAATTCCTTGTGCACTGTAGCACCATAAAAGTCAGTTGGATATAATTCATTCCTGTCGTGTAATTCTTCTCCTTTCGTTTAGCGTTTAGTTAAAGTTCGTTCGTATGTAGCTAAATATTTATTTTTAAGTAGGTGCTTTTCTCGAGTGGGAATCGCCTTGTATAAATTTATTGTCTTAGCATGAATTTTAAAAGCGTTTAGGAAGCGTCGAACGGACACACTTCTGAATATTTTCGATATTATCATAAAAATATGGGACCTTTAACGGCTTAAATATTAATAATTCCGAAATTAAATTGAAATACAGCCGCATGTGAACAGTTATCGCTCGAAAGAAATTTTAATCGCTGGATATAAATACTAACGTTGATGACATTTTGTGTGCGAGGCGCAAGGATTAAGATCCTTGTAAACTTAGACGTCGGGCGTTTACGTTGTCCGTTTAAAATTCCAGAAAATTAATAAGTGATTTATGGGTGTACATTTTTTTATGGAGATCGTTTTTCATTCCTAAATGCTTCGGTTTTTTTGTGAGACTACTGTATTTAATAGCAATCTAAAACCGTATGGTTCAAATAAACAAATAATCGACGTTGAATTTATGGTTTGGCGAATTTATGGTTCTGCTTGTTCGTGTTGACTGCTAAAGAGGCTGGAGATTGAAACAAGCTGGTTAATGGCAATTAAATGCATTAATTAAACGAACAAAATTCTCCTTGTTTTGAATACAGTTCGCATAAAATAGAACCTTGTTTCATCGGTTAACAAAAAACTACTAGGCACAATTAAAATTAAAAAGAACATAATTAATATATGCATATAGAAACAACAACTTTTACTAATCAACTGGTCTGGCATAATTATCGCCAGAAAACGAACGAAATTATTAGAAAGAAATACCAGTAGCCTTCTAACAAACAGTCAATTACATTGATTTATTACCGACCATTACTAAATGATATATTGTTGAAGTCAGTGAACTAAAATTGAAATCATTATGAAGGCGCAGTTGCGACTCTCCAGCAGGGCGACCCGAGGTGAAAACATTCGCAGGTGTATTAAATGCACGTATGCAAAGCAGGTTCGTTTGTTGTATACGAATGTGATAAATTCTTCTGCAAATGCATTACGTAATTCAGTAAACGCTCGATAATTGTCGGTACGTAATTATATCTGTTGAGTTCCGAGCGGACTTGTTTTCTTCCATTCCAACCCTTCCCTTAGATTTGTTGTAAATTATCGAGTTTATTTCTGCGAATGGTATTTGAAAGTGCGAATATGGCTGTATAAGTTCATGTAATAATTTATTTATATTTAACAACCAATCATCTAAATCTAGATCATTTACATTTCTCTTAATAGATTCCTCAAACAGACCCATATTCTCGTTTTTTTCTCACTATATACGCCAAGTTTTCTTGCAAATGATGAAGTCCAGACCAGCTGTTAACATATCGACGGTGGTCAAATACTATTTTACACATTAAAAAATATCATCCACATGCAAAGTAATTCGAGAACATAAATAAATAATATTAGTATAGATATTTATCATAATATCCTC